ATGAGGCCCGGCAGCCGCAGCAGCTCCATGCCGTTGCCGATAAAGGCCGAGGCGATGACGTAGTTCACGAAGAAGGCGCCCTGGTCGGGCAGGAAGACGCACCTGGGGAGACAGGGCGGGTCCATGCTCTGAGAGCCAAGGGAGCCTCCTTCCCACCCCAGTCAGAGGCAGGCCCTGGACCGGGCGAGGAAGCCCTCAGCATGGAGACAGAAACAAAACCCAACCTCTCAGAGCTTCCATCCCAGCTGGGACTCATAGAACAAACCAGTAAACAGCACGCGAGTGCAGTGCAGGGGAGGAGCTCGCTCTTACTATGGCGGCAGAGAAGCCTTTCTAACGAGGCATCTTTCTGCAGACACGTGATCTAGCGGCCTGGGAGAGGGGACTCCAGGGAAAGGAACACCAGGCAGTGGCTCTGACGGGTGTGTCTGGCTTAGTCAGGGAATAGCAAATGGGCTAGTGGGCTGGAAGGGAGCACGTGAGGTGAGAGGGTGCAGGGCCACAGGAGAGCGGGGAGAGTGGCGCCCCAGAGCTGAGAGAAAACAGCATTTCAGGAGGAAGCCTTGGTTACATGCGCCGGATGTTGCTCACAGATTACTTGAGATGTAACTCAACTGGACCCAGGTCAGCAGCCCGAGGCTTCCCTCTGCCCACCAGGCCCACATGTCCCTGTGGCTGACGCTGGCAGTGGATTGTGGCATGGAGACCCTGTTAGCAGGGCCCCCCTGTCTCGCAGAAAAAAGTAAATAAATTAACTTAAAATATAAATACATGAGGCTGAAAGGAGCTGAGGGCCAGCCAGGGCGGGAGAGCCGCTCTGACGGGCGAGGGCACCGGGGGTGGGGACCAGACGGCTCCTGCTGCTGCCCCTGTGTGGGACGAGAGAGGTCCTGGTGGAGCTGGTGAAACAGTCAGACTAGGATCTGTCTAGGAGAGCTGGCAGCTTGCCAATAGACTCGGGTGGCGAGGGAGAGAAAGGTGACACGGTGAGGTCTAAGGCCTTTTGCCAAAGCAACTGGGGGGAAAAAGAATAAAAAACATGGAAAGAAGAAAATTGGGAGCAGCAAGTCTGAGGTAAAGGTCAGGCGTTTGGTTTTGGGTAGAGTCCGAGATGCCCAGGGAACTCCAGATGGAGCTGAGGCAGGCAGGCCTGAGTTGTAACCGTGGGTGCTGCCCACAGACTTCAGTTGAGGAGTAGTGGGAGGCACTGAAGCCCCAGGCCCAGAGGAGTTTACCTAGAGAGGCAGAGCGAGAGAAACCCAAGGTATCTGAAGCTGGGAGGCTGTGAAAGGGCCCAGAAGGAAGCCAAGAAATGGACGTCACGGGATAGGAGAGCCAGGAGAGCGGAATCTCAGAGCCGAGAGAAGACAGCGTTTCAAGGAGAGAGGTTCCATTCATCTATCGGCTGCTGCTCACAGCTTTCTTACGATGGGGACTGAGAGGTGGCTGCTGGGTGTGCCGATCTGGAAGTGGCCATCAGCCTGGACAAGAGCTGGCTGGGTGTATGAGTGTCTCTCTGGCTGCCAGCTTCTGAGTCAGCAGCTTCCCTAGAACTCATTTAAACTAATTCACCCCATCCTCACAGGTAGCACGGCCAGCCTTCCCTACAAACACTCCTTTGGAAAGTCGATCCGAAGCCTTTATTAGGACCTAAAGTGTAACGGGCTGGGGTTGAATTCTTAACTAGCTGGAAAACCTGGGCAAGTTGTCCAATATGTCCTGTTTTATTTTGTTTTTAGAATTATTTTTTATTTAACTCTACTTACCCATTTAGTTATTTATTTCAATTTGACCAGAGAGGGAGAGACAGAGAAAGTGAGAAAGCAAGCCACCAGGTCTGAGACAGAGAAAGTGAGAAAGCAAGCCACCAGGTCTGAGACAAAGTGAGAAAGCAAGCCACCATGTGGGAGTCTAGCACCCCTAACCACCATGCCACCTGCCAGCCCCAGTTGTCCAACATTTCTGAGCCTTGGTCTCCCTGTCTGTAAAATGAAGATACTAATAGTATCTACTGCATAGGTTGGTATAAAGGTTAATGAGAAAAATAAGTATAGGGACCAGCAGTTAGCGTAATGGCTATGTCGCTGGATTCCCACATAGTCGACCGGGGTTCGCGTCCTGGACCCGGTGGCTTAAAACTCACGCCGGGCGCGTGTGCATGCATGCCCAAGATCCCGAGAGGAGAATGGAAGAGAAGGGATTGTGGCGTGGCCATCCCCCCTGGGGGGTGATTTCTCGCTGTCTCTCTGTCTCTCTCTGTCTGTCTGGCGAGCGCACACGCCCTATAGCAAAAACCTCTCCAAAAAAAAAAAAAGAAAAGAAAAGAAAGAAAAAGAAGTATAAAGCATTTAATATAGTGCCTTTTCTTTTCTTTTTTTAATAATTATTTATTATTTAATTCCATTAGTTATTATTATTATTAATTTGACAAGACAGAGACAGAGAGAGAGAGAGAAAGGGAAAGCAAGAAAGCAAGCCACTGTGGTTAGCCATGTGGGAATTCAGTGCCCTTAACCTCCACGCCTCCTGCTGGCCCCAACATAGTGCCTTTTTAATAGCTACTACTGGGCTGACCCCATAGCACAGCAGTTAGGCACTGCACAGAAGCAGCTGCATCCCACATGGCTGACTAGGGTTCAAGTCCCAGCTCTGCTGACCTGAAAGACACACTGGGCATGAGTGCATGCCCAGATCTTGCTGGGGTGAAGAAGTGGAGGAAAAAGGATTGCAGCGTGATCAGGCCTTGTAGGGAAGGGGCGGGGGTGTTTGTGCATGCTCTCTCAGTCTCTCTTTCATGCATGCATACTGTGGCATGAAGTGATAACTATTACTATTAACTGGGTGGACCAGCAGTTAGCATAATGGCTATGTCACTGGGCTCCCATGTAGTCGATCACAGTTTGAGTCCCGGACCCAGTGACTTTGACTTAAAACTCATGCCGGGCACGTGTGTGGATGCCCAAGATCCAGAGAGGAGAATGGAGGAGAAGGGATTGCGGCGTGGCCATCCCCCCTGGGGGGTGATTTCTCGCTTTCTGTCTCTCTGTCTCTCCCTGTCTATCTGGCAAGCACACAGGCCCTATGGCAAAAAAAACCTCTCCAAAAAAAAAAAAGGAAAAGAAAAAGAACTATTAACTGGGTGTGGAATAAGCTTAAAATACTAATGAAGACACACATCAGCAATGTTTCATTCCATTCTCCAAAACTAACCCCAGACCAGACAACTATTCTGGTGGCCACGTTCAGTGGTAATTCTACTTCCTCCCTCCCATGTACCACTGAGAGCAGCAGTTCTTCCTCCCCATGCAGCTCTGTGCTTAGCGAGTAAGTTCCAAAGAAGGAACAAGGCTGCCCCTAATTGAGTTCTGGCCTGAAAGAGTAACCACAATTCTATCAGAACAGTACAAAGTGGGTCAGCCCCGCCGTGAGTGCCAAGAGCCCGGCAGGGGTGGTGGCAAAGCCCCAGGCCCTGCCTCTGGGGAGAAATGAGCCTGTTCTGAACACACAACTGCCCCAGCCCTCCCAGTGCAGGCCCAGCTCCAGCCCCTGTGGACTTTCACCCAGGGCCTTGGCCTCAGAATGCCACTTGGCCCGTACTTACTCCAGCCTGATAGAGGCCTCAGAGGTGTTTTTGTCAAAGAGCCACCGGAAGAAAAAGTCCAGGCTGCAAAACAAATGAATCCCGTAAGAATGAATTTCCAGCATTCCGTGTGAGCACCACGCATGACTTCATTTTGTTCCGTTCTAAAAACCAGCTGACTCTGAAGACCTGCGTTTGTTGTCTAGGACGCCACCACAGTGTGGCTGACCAGGGCCTGCTTTAACAGAAACCTCCTTCTTCCCCATAAACAAGGTCATGATTAGACCCTCCCTAAGAGGAAGGCCCTCAAACTTTATTTGAGAAAGGTTTTCAAACTTTATTTTTCCTTTAAGGAAGGAAGATCCTATGTGAAGAACAGTCATTGGACCAGCGACACTCCAGTGAATACAAGGAACTTAAAGGTTCTCAGGGGTTTATATTTACTCCAAAATCATTCCATTTCCCGGGCAGTGCCCTCTAGACGTGACCCTGGTTCCCAATGTAGAGCAAGAGGCAGGGGCGCATACCTGGTGAGGCCAAGGGAGGGCAGGATTAGCACCATGAAGATCAGGAATATGTAGATCTTGGTCATCATGTTCCAATTTTCCCCTGACCTGTGGGAAGTCAGAGTGAGCACACGTGGTCTCCACAGTGCTCCAGGCGTCCCCGGTAAGGCCCCTACCCCGGGCAAGGGGCGGTTGTTAGGGGTCAGAGGTTTTCATCCCCAGTAGGGGCCTGGAGGCTCCCAGCACTCACTTGGTCCAGTGAGACTCCAGCAGCGTTGAGTAGTAGACCATGGTGGGGAGCAGGGCCGAGAAGGACCAGAGGAGGAGGGTAGGGAAGAACTGGCTGATGATCGGGTCCTGGAAGACGAGGCCACCACAATGAGCTGGAGGGGCTGTGAGCCGCAGAGGCTCTGAGGCCGAGCCAGGCTGGCATGGCAGCTTACGGGACTCCCGGGGTTTGGGTCACCCTTGATCCCCTGAACCAATATTGCATTGAGGAGTCCACAGTAGGCAGTCCATCAATGTTGGTTGAATAATCAGTAACGGCACCTTACATTTGAGTAGCTTTTTCAGCAAAGCAGGCAGTTTCACATACAACTGAACCCCACTCCCCTGACTAAACAATCACCTTCTCCGTTCCCTGGAAAACTGTCTGGAGACCAAGGCTGAAGGCCAGAGCTCCTCTCCAACCAGCCTGCCTGTCAGCAAGCCCTGGTCACACAGGGGCTTGCCAGGACTCTACTGTGTCTGTCCCTACTATATTGAATGGCTCAATTAACATCTTACTTTCACTGATTAAATGAACTTAAAAGTAGAGAAAAGCTGGGGCTAGCAGGTGGCATGGTGGTTGGGGCTCTAGACTCCCACTGCGGTTTGAGTCTCAGACCTAGCCTAGTGAGAACCCCCCGGCCCCCCCCGCCACGACCCCCCCACCCCCCCGTGCCTACACATGACCTATAGCAAATTTAAAAATAATATTAACAATAAATAAATGTTTTTTGAAGTAGAGAGCAACATTCTTTGAAAACTGAATTGGATAGTTTGGGAAGACTAGGGAAAGGCTATTTTCTAAAAAAAAAAAAAAATGCTGTTAAATTATTCAAGAGTAAATTAACCATACAAGACCAAGGTGTATGAAATCTGGGAGCAATCTATACTTAGAATGTCTGCAAGTCTCTCTCTCTCCTGTTTTTTAATAATTATTTATTTTATTTTATTTATTCATTCATTGATTTTTTTTTTTTTTTA